GAAACAATTCTCTCTCTCTCTCTCCCTCTCCCCCTTTCTCTGTGTGTGTGTGTGTGTGTGTATGTAATATACAAAGAGAGATACTAAGATTTTGATCGATTGATTGTTTTAAAAATTGAATTTAGAGAGGGAAAATAAGGGGGAGAGAGAGACAACCATCTTTCAGCTGCCTCCTGCATGCCGCCTACCAGGGATCAGTCCTACAACCTAGGCATGTGCCCTGACTGGAATCAAAATGGTGACCTCTTGGTGCCTGGGACAATGCTCAACCAACTGAGCCACACCGGCCAGGGTGATTGGTTCATTTAGTTTTAAGGAATTGGCAGAATTGCTTCTTTGGTAAGCCTCATTCTTTGCTCTTAAGACCTTCAACTGATTGGATGAGGTCCTCCCCACCCTGGTTATGGGGGGTAATGTGTTTTACTCAGTCTGTTGATTTAAATGTTAATCACAGCCCAGCCGGGGTGGGTCAGTGGTTGAGTGTCGACCCAAGAGGTCGCCAGTTTGATTCTTGGTCAGTGCACATGCCCAGGTTATGGGCCTGAACCCCAGTGGGGGGCGTGCAAGAGGTTGCCAATCGATGTTCTCTCTCATCGATGTTTCTGTCTCTCTCTCCCTCTCCCTTCGCTTTCTCTAAAATCAGTAAAGGAAAAAAATATTTTAAAATATGTTAATCACATATAAAAATTACTTTCATAGCCTCATCTACACTGGTATTTGACCAAAGAGCTGGGCATCACAGCGAGCCAAATTGATACGTGAAATTAACCATCACATACAGTATTGCTGAGAGAATAGACTGGTTTAGCTTAAGTGATACCCTCACTTCTGACTGATTTCTGAACTACACATTGGAATTTGTGCCCTGATCTTCACGTCAGCTCGAGATTATAGGTGTATAGATATGATCCTTCTCCATCATCAAGCTTATACTGACTTACACCCTTTAAATCGAGAGATTTCTTGCTTGGCAGTGTCATGGAGCCTAGTGTGAAGGCTCAGGAAGGCGGGTGTGCACCACCTTCAGCAGATGCACACTTATGCTTTCTCCTCCCCATGTCAGTTCCCACGAGCGTGACAGGAACCTTGCCAGTTGTGCTTGAGTCTGCCAGTTAAAGCACCGCTGTTTGTGTTTAACAGGGCCCTGAAAAGTAAGACAACCACAAGGATTTGGGGACAGGATTATGCCTAGAAATATTGAAGAAGTAGTGATTTATAAGAACTAGGAAAAATTTATATTGTAGAATACATACAAGTTTTGTACTTTTGTGGATATAAAGGATTTAGGGACAATTCTGACATACAAATATGAGTTCATGTACTGGTCTGTGAAATGGAACTCTTTGTGAGATATAACTTCACTACAGCATGAGTTGAGGCTGATGATGTAGGTGGGGGTAAATTTAAGCAGGGTCTCAAAAGCCATGTTAATGATTTTGCTCTATATTCTAAGGGCAGTGAGAAGCTATTTGGACTTTAAAGGGGAGTGTGCTGTGGTGATAGTTCTATACTAAAAAGGCAAACAGTCTATGGTCTGAGAATGGATGAGAAGAGATGTAACAAAATGGGTAAGGGAAGGCCAGGAGCCTCTTAGAATTGGCAAAACAAAGAGGCCCAGGTTTGGAAGGAAGATTGTGAATTCGTTGTTGGACTTGTTGATTTTGAGGTCCCTCTGTTGGGAATGATCAAATATGCATTTGGATATATGTGACTCTGAGCCAGAGTTGTAAAGTTGAGGGATGGTAGGGTTAACTGAAGCCCAATGGAGATGTATTTGAGAGAGTCTAATACTAACAGAGGTAGAGGCTACAAAGACGTGGCCAGAGAGGTAGAAAAGGGAAACCAGGAGATGATGCTATTAAAGGAACTACAGTGAAACTTGTTCAAAGGAAAAAAGTGGCCCTGGCCAGGTAGCTCAGTTGGTTGAGGCATCATCCCAGTGTCCTAGGGTTGTGGGTGTGATCCCTGGTCAAGGCATAAGCAGGAATCAACCAATGAGTGCATAGATAGGTGGCACAACAAATTAATGTTCTCCCTTTCTAAAATCAGTTACTCAAAAAGGGGGGTGGAGTGGTCAAAATACTGAATGCTGAAGATTAAGACTGAAAAAAAATGTCTTTTAGACTTATTTTGTATGATAATCTTAGAGCTGTTTCGGTGTAAAGATGGGCTCAGGCTACAGTGCAGCAGGCTGAGAAGTGTGAGATGAGGGTGTTGAGGAAGTGTAGCCAGCTACTGCAAGAAGTTTAGCTCTGAAGTGGCGGAGAGATGGGGCAGTAGTTGGGAGGAGTGAGCGGGCCAGTGGCGGGTGAGACCTGAGCATGCTGAGATGTTGGCAGTGGCCTCCTGGAGAGAACGGAAAGTGGAGTACCCAGTGTGCTGAAGGGAGAATCCAGGCGAAGCCTCCTTCTGGGGTTGTATCCTGATTCTGAGCCTAGGTGTAGTGACTGGCCTCTCATGTGATAGTAATAGGGGTGAAGGGGAAATCATACCATTTTAAAATTTTCCTGATTCCCTATTGTATTCATCAGCGCCCAAACAGGAAACAAACTGCACAGGAATTTGTAAAGGGGAAGATCATAAAGAATTAACTGTGTAGGAGATTACCTGATAAGAGGAAAGTGAACTCTGATTTAAAGAGTGTAGGAGTATCAGCTAAGGGAGCAGCCACTACCCAAGGACTGAGGCAGAACATCCAAGGAAGGAACGGATCTGGAAGAGACCACCCTTCACCCCCACCCTCCCTCACCCGCTGGGTGGCAGATATGTTTGTGGAGGTGTTAAACTGTTGGAATTCTCTGGGAAGCTGTCCCTGGGCAGGTGCCATGCCATGAAACTCCTTGTCCATGAGGTGGCTCCCTGGGGAGCTGCTCTCTGGAGTTCAACGGGAAGTTGCTCCTCTCCCCCGGGAGATGACCATGTGCCACTTTGAGCTGCTGGTTGCCCCACACTTGAAGGCTGCTAGGAGGGACACACCAGAACCAGGAAGAAACTTTTCCTCCTCTGCTGGCCTTCCAGTGCCCTCTACCAACAAAGTGATACTGTGCCAGCTGGCAAGGAAGAATTTTTTAGGGTCCACCTTCATTATTGAAATAGTGGAGTTGAGACACATTAAATTGACAAATGTCACATTTATTTATTTTTTTAAATATATTTTTATTGATTTTTTTAGAGAGAAAGAAAGGGACAGAGAGAAATTTGGATGTGAGAGAGACACATCGATAGGCTGCCTCCTGCATGCCCCCCACTGGGGATTGAGCCCGCAACCCTGGCATATACCCTGATTGGGAATCTAACCAGGACCCCTCAGTCCATGGAATGATGCTCAATCCACTGAGCCACACCGGCTGGGTGTCACATTTATTATTGATCCTTTAAGTTTTTTCCAGTTTTTGCTTTAATGATTGAAATGGTGAACATCTTTGTACATAGTCTTTGTGCACACATCTTGTTTAGCGCGTTCATAAGACCTGGACGGATTAGAGCATATTTAGAGATGTGGTGAGTGGTTCTTGATTTTTACTGTTTGTTTTTTTGTATGCCTGAAGTATTTCTGGAAAGAAATGAGAAATATAGATTGTCTTTAGGGAAGGGAACTGGGTGGTCACCTAGTCATAAAACTAAAATTTCAAATATTTTTATTGTAAATATGATAAATATTATCTGTCTTGGTAAACTCAACTCTATTGTTTCATTTCTCAGCATGGTGTGGTTTATTCTTTTCTATCATGTCCTATACTGTCAGCTGAAGGCACCATTTTTCTGACCTTTAACATCATTTATAGCTCAAAATGAATCATTTTCATTTTCATTGACTTGTTTCCTCTCTTTGCTATCAAAACCAGGTCATCCATTTTTCCCTTTGACCCTGTGTGGCATTTGCCTTTGACCCTGTGTGGCATTTGATGTGATGATACCACAGTGGTCAGCCTCCTCAAGTGCTGCCCTACCTGGTTTTTAGTGTGTGACTAGCTGAAGTGCTACTGATGATTCTGTGTTAAGTTCTGGGTTTTCTTTCCACAATCAGAATTCATTCTTCTCTTCTTGTGTTTACAATAAAGCCATCACAAAGAAGACTAAGTCAGTTTCTTTACCTGACAAAAATGATAATCATTTTAAAAATACTTTTTCTTGTATCACCTTATAGGTTGCAATGTAAGAAAATAATATAGAAAATTATGGCTATAGAATTTAGTTGTTTTAAAATACTTGAAAAAGTATTTATAGTTCTATTTTTGATCTTTATCAAATTTATTTTTAATTCAATGTGAATTTTGTAGAGTTTTCTTTTAATTATTTTTATTGCATTTATTGGGTGACATTGGTTAATAAAATTATATAGGCTTCAGGTGTAGACTTCTATAATTGAGTGTTCACCACCCAAATAGAATTTTCTTCTTGTACAGAATTGTAGTGCTCATTAGCTGTTTTTTTTTTTGTTTTTTTTTTTTAACAAACTGCTAAAGCGGAAAGGAGTTATCTATTTTTAGATCCATTTTGAAGTATGAGGAGAAAAATGATTTTTTACTTTTACACTTTAATCTACATTATTTGAAATGTTTATTACTTAATAGAATTTTAAGAAAGATCAAAATGATCTTTAATTTGGTCTCATTTGATTGTTGATTTTGCCGGTTATGGGAGAAAAAACAGTCTCCTGAATAGTTTCTATTAAAGCCTATCAGAAGTTTTAAAAGCCCTTTCTAAAATGCTTAAAATTTTTTTTTCCTAAAACTAATTAATGACTCATGAACTAAAAAGAAGTAATTGAATACATTTATATCGAGTCTTCTATATGGTTCAGTCACAGAAATGTTCGCTCTATTCACTGCGAGTCCCCATTCCTTCTCAGGGGTCCTTGGGATCTAAGGATCAAACCTGGTGCTAGCGCTGCGGTAGGTAAACTTTTGTTTAGGTGATGCTCCATTTGAAGTTTTTATTGTGACATTCTTATTAGTTTAATGGTTGTTCCTTAGTCATTTTCTTGGTTGGTTTTTCAGGACTACAGGAATATGTGGAAGCCGTCTCTTTTCAACACTTTATCAAAACACGATCACTTATCAGTATGGATGAAATCAATAAACAATTGGTATTTACAACAGAAGACAATGGGACAGAAAATAAGACTGTAAGAATTTAAAACCATATTTCACGTTCATTACATCATTTATATAGCAGTATGACAATTGTAGATGTACTGGCTAGAGTGGTAGGTATATTGAGATGGCAATGTTCTTTCCAAAGTGTGGTCTCATAGGTTCCCAATCAGGGAAATGACCCTTTTGAATATTTTAGTTAGTGGATAGAACAAGACCAGCTGTGGGTATGTTGAGGGAGAATGAATAATACCCTTTACCTAAAGCATTATTGAGTGATTGTAAGTTTAGTTTTGGTTTTACTGTGTACTTACTATGTACCCTTTATAAACACTATCTCATTTCATCCTTTTATTAACCTTATGAGGTAAGAATTATCCCCCACATTTTACAAAGAAGAAAATAGGCTTTTAGAGAGTTCAAGTATCTTATCAGAAGCCACACAACTGATAAGGGTGACAACTAAGCTTTGGAACCAGGTGTCTTGAATGCAAACCAGTATGCCTTGAGATGAGATTTTGAATATTTGATAGTTCCTGAGATATTAGTATATTTACAGATAAAATTAAAGTTTTTTTCATATTTTTTTCTGTTGTATTATTTAAAAATTACTCAAAAGATGGAAGAAGCTGTACGAAATAGTGTTTTCTTTTTTTTTTTGGTACATGCCCCTAGCAGGAACCGAACCCGGGACTCTCTGGTCCGCAGGCCGACGTTCCAACTGCTGAGCCAAACCGGCCAGGGCAGAAATAGTGCTTTCTTGAATATTAACTAAAATGTTAATACTGAAAAGTGTGAGACTTAATTTGGCATGATAGATATAAACTTGCTTTAAGGAAGCTATGTATTTTCTCAATTTTTAAAATTATGTGAAGTTTATTAAGAAGGAAATATTTTGAGAAGTAAAATTTTGCCCTGGCTGGTTTTGCTCAGCAGTTAGTCTCAGCCTGCAGACCAGAGAGTCCTGTGTTCAATTCCTGCTAAGGGCGCGTATCTCCGTTGCAGTTCATCCGGGCCCTGGTTGAGGTTGTGCGGGTGGCAGCCACTCGAAGTGTTTCTCTCAAGTCCATGTTTCTCTCTCTCTCTCTCTCCCTCCCTATCTGAAGATAAATGCAAAAATGTCCTCGGGTGAGGATAAAAAAATAAACTTTATTATGAAAAATTTCAAACATAGAGAACAGTAGAGAAAACAGTAACACAAGAACACCTGTATACCAACTACCTGGATTCAATCATTGTTAACATTTAGCTATATTTGCTAAATATTTTTTGCTAAGCCACTTTAAATTACAGGTGTCATGATTTTTCCTCCCTAAATACTTCAGCTCCATCTTGAAAAGTCTACATTTTAAGTTGTTTTCTTTTTCCTAGTTCCCATTATCAGCCAGTAAAGCAGAATTTATTTCCTTTACATTTGTTGAATTTCATTAAATTTTACCGTGCTTTTTTCTCTAAAATCAACATCTAGACAGAAGGGAACGCCTTCTGTCTGATGATAGAAATAAGAACATTAATACTTTCTTCAGCAAATTATTTTTATAAATGACCTATGAAATGCAACTCTCTTTCCCCTATTACAATCTACCATTTCTAAAAATATACTGGTTCTCTAACAGTTAATAGAAATGAAACATAGCAGGTACTTTTATGTCATGATGTGGTTTCAGAGGCACCAGAATAATTGGATACTTATCCAGTTGCCATTAACTAGGTATATTACCTCTGGTGTTTCTTGGACCTCATCTCTCATTCTTTCATTGAGAGGATTGGACCAGATGGTCTCTGAAGAGTAAGTAGTCCAGCAGTATTGAGAGATCTTAATACTACCTAAATTTGACTCATTTCCTTGCTTCATTCTCAATGACTCTATTATCTATAGATACAGTTTAAGTTCCTAAATGTGACTTTATATCCTTGTCTTTCTAGACTCATCCTGTATTACTTCTTACTTTAAACTTGACTCAAAGGAAATACCTCACTAGTTTCTCAGCCATGCAACACCGTTCTTACCTGCATGCCTTTCCAGCTAGCTCCTTCTGCCTGAAATTGCAACTTCACCTAAGCCTCACACAGACATTTTTTTTTTATTTTCACCCGAGTACATTTTTGCATTTATCTTCAGATAGAGCGTGAGGGAGAGAGGGAGGAAGAGAGAGAGAAACATTGATGTGAGAGAGACACATCGAGTGGTTGCCAACCACACGACCCCAACCAGGGCCGGGGACAAACTGCAACTGAGGTACGTGTCCTTAGTGGGAACTGAACCCGGGTCTCTCTGGTCCACGGGCTGATGCTCTAACCGCTGAGCAAAATAGGTCAGGACCTCACACAGACTTTTAATAACAACTTAAGCATCACCTCTTTCAGAAAGAATCCAGTCTATAGAAAGAAATTGATGTGGAGAGAGGAGATTTACATGATAATGGTAATGGTGATTGATAGCAGCTAACATTTATTGAGTATTTACTTTGTGTTGGGCACGATGCCAAGAACTTGGTAAATGTTATCTCATCCTTGAAATAAACCTCTGAGGTAGGTACTGTTATCCCATTTTACAGATGAGGAAACTGAGGTTTAGAGAGATGAAATAACTTGCCCAAGGGCATACACCTTATGAAGCAAGGTCCTGGAAGAGGTGGGAGGAGATGGGTCAAGGTCATTTGGAAGAGTTAACCTCAAACAAGAGGAGGGACAACTCATCATCTGAGACTGGAGGATAGAAGGTAAAGATGGATGTGGACATAAGTTTATTTTTTGTAGGCATAAGGTAATTGAAAGAGCTTGTGCCAAGGTGATCTGGCAAATGAGCAGGCCATTGAAAGTAGGCAAGATTGTCTAGTGAGGTTTGGGATTGAGTAGGGGGCCCAGGAGAGTGATGAAGGTTTGGAATAGTGTTTACGGAGACTGGAGAGAGAACCATCTAAGAATAAGTGAAAGGATTGGTGAGTCGTTTGTAGTGGTACAAACTACAAATATAGATGTAATTATCATTATTTTTCAGCTCAGTGGTACTCAACCACTTGAATAAAGGACAAACAAAAGTAGGTTTTAATATTGATTCAGGGTTTGTTTTTGCTGGGTGCAGTAGAAGAATAGGAGTCTAAAGGAACCGAGGAGGATGGAGCAGGAGAGTGATAAATAATGGGCACTGCTGAGTAGGGATAGAGGAAAGGCAAGAAAGGGTAGCTTAGGAAAACACGAATTGCCACAAACTTGGAGGGCTTTGAGAGCTGCTATTTAAATAAGTAAGGGATTGTCATGCAGTAAAGTAATTGGGCCTTGTTGAAGAATGTTTTAATTTTATTTTGTATGTCAAGTGAAGTTGGAAATAGTTGATTTTATAATGATAGAGTATTAGATTTCAAAACTATCTAATTTAATTAAACTCCCTACCCAAGGCATGAATTCCTCTTGTAACCTCACAAATAGTCATTAAACAAAATACGTAGATCATTTTATTTAGAGAAGATTAGCATAGTTGATCTGCTCTTGTTTTTGTACTTTATAATAAATGTGATACATGCATCTTCACTCTTTTTCATGGTATATTTTCTGTGTGTGTGTGTGTCTTTTTTATTTTTTATTTTTTACCAGCCCTCTTCTGATGCCCACGATAAAGAGTTTGGTACGTGGAGACTGAAAATCACACCTGTTGATTACCTTCTGGGAGTGGCTGATTTAACTGGAGAGTTGATGCGGATGTGTATTAACAGTGTGGGGAATGGGGACATTGACACCCCCTTTGAAGTGAGCCAATTTTTACGTCAGGTTTATGATGGATTTTCATTCATTGGCAATACTGGACCTTATGAGGTTTCTAAGAAGCTGTATACCTTGAAACAGAGTCTGGCCAAAGTGGAGAATGCTTGTTATGCCTTGAAGGTCAGAGGTTCAGAAATTCCCAAACATATGCTGGCAGATGTCTTTTCAGTTAAAACAGAAATGATTGATCAAGAAGAGGGCATTTCTTAGAGTAACATTACTCAGATATTATTCTCTTGAACTCCTAAGAGAGACCAGTTTGTAAGACTGTTATTTAGTATTTTATTTGACTTTATTGTGGCATTTACATAGGAAATTTTCAGTTTTACTTGTTTTAAATTATATACAAGCTGTACATAAAATTATCAAAATGAATCATTTTCTATATCTTACTCATGAAAGTCTGCATACAGATGTTTGTGTATGTGCCTATTGGAATTTTTCTCAGCCGAATCTCACGACTTATCTTTGTAATGTGAACATGCTTTAGAGTGTGCTTTCTGCACCTGTTTTACTTTACTTTGTGGGAATTTTGAGTGGTAATAATTAGTGGAAGCCATTTATGATTTAAGTTGGTGGTTTTGTTACATATAGAAAAGATCTCTTAGTTATACATCTGGACTTGAGCTTTTTGTTTAAATTTCTTGATAATATTGTGTCAAGTCTCCAAAATAGGCTTATTCTATAGACCAGAATTAAACATTACTAAGTTTTCAATATACTTTAATTTTATGTGGCATTGTGGTAAGAATTCACATTATATTCTGGCTAGTTTAGGCCATTTTGAATCCATATGAAACAGCCTTTCAGAAAAATTGACATACCTAGTTGTTAGTTTCTACATTTAACTTTTGTCCTTTAGCACAGAAAGTCCAATAGAGAATTGGAGCTAATATTCTAATATTTTCACTAGTGTTTGAGTTGATTATATACCTGTACATACAACTAAGAAGCTTTTTAGTAGTGATTATTTAGCAATTTTTTTGTTATCTCTTATATTAACATTAGGCATGTTGGAGGCTTTCTAATTCTAGTGTCTATAAGGAATTACATTTAAGTAATTATGATGAAGTTTTGAAATTTTTGAAATACTAAGTTAATCTGAACCTTTATAGTTTTCTAGTTGTGTTCATTGATAGTATAAAAAGTTGCCAAAGAAAATTTATCTTGTACAATTCAGCAATAAGACAATTGTCAACACAGTTAGGAATAACAATGATAGTCATAGTGATATTTAGAATTGGAATTTGCCTACTGAAATTAGTTATAATTTCCTGTGATGTGAAACTGACCTGAACATGACACTATTGGCAGGCAGCCAGGCATTTCCATTTGGTTCTATGAGTTTCGAGAATCTGGATACTGGATTTTACTTTTTGAAAGATTAGCTGCTCTGTTGGTAAAGTCTGATTCTTTGAAAGTGTAATTTTCACCTCCAAAAAAATTACCTGAAGGAAAATAAAACATAGGCATGACTAATACATTAGGTTTGTTTGTTTGGTTTGGTGGTAGTGAGGTTTTTTTTGTTTCCCTATTCAAAGATATATTGCTGAAATGTAGTCTCATTACATATTTTTGTTTCTTCTGCCACTTGAAGTTTATGTTAAAAGTAAAATTATGAATCGATTAATATCTTACAGATGTTTAAAACTGAAGTCTTTGAATAAAATATTAAAACATAAAGTTAATCTTATTTTTTTGTTATATTGAGAACACTTAAAGTGTTGTATATAATTTTTAGCTCAAACAGGAAATCTGATACAGCCTTAATAAGGAGATTGATTATTTCTTAAACTAGGTCCAGAGGTAGGGAGAGTTTCAGGAAAGACATTCTTCACATCTCATTCGCCCAACCTGGGTCACATTCTCCTTCCTCTAACCCAGTGAGTGGAAAGGAAATTAGTTCACTTACTGACCTGGGCACCCTACTTGAGAGGAGAAGGGCAAACAAAGAAATCAGGTTGAGGTGTTGCCATCATAGGAGGAGGGGGAAGGACCTTTGAGCAGTCAGTTAACAGTGACTGCTACAGGTGGGTGGGTGCCGTTGCTGTTGACACATTCCCACATTGCATGTTCCACCAGTACAGTGGGTGTTGGACCAGAATGATAGATACTTAGGGTCCCTAAGTATGCCCTGCAGGTCTCTGTTTGAAAATGGCTGTTCTGGCCCGGCGGGTGTAGCTCAGTGGATTGAGCGTCATCCCATGGACTGAGAGGTCCCCAGTTCGATTCTCAGTCAGGGCACATGCCTAGGTTGTGGGCTGAATCCCCAGTGGGGGGCATGCAGGAGGCAGCCAATCGATGTTTCTATCTCTCCCTATCCTTTTCTCTCTCAAAATCAATAAAGAAAAATAAAATATGTGGAGGGACTTGCAGAGTATTATATTAAACGAAATAAGCCAATCAGAGAAAGACAAATATCACATGATCTCTCTTATTTGTGGAATATAATGAACAAAATAAGCTGATGAACAAAATAGACCCAGAGACACAGAAAGGAGTATGGTTCAGACTGACAAACCTCAGAGGAAGGGGCCGGGGGAAGGGATGAGATAAGCCAAAGAAGTTATATGCATGTGTGCGTAACCAGTGGACATAGACAACAATGCTTGGGGGGCGGGATAGGGAAGAGGGTGTCAGGGGAGGGGGAAAGAAACATCTGTAACAAAAATAAATTAAAAAAATAAATAAAAATAAGAAAATGACTATTCGGATAGCATTATCTGTTACAGTGTTTTTTTAACTTTATTATAACAAGAAGCTGATTCTAGGTCACATGGCAAGTTGCTGACAGAATTCTGAAATAAAATTGGTTTATGTCCTTCATAAGTAACTCCGGCATGTATTAAATCAGTGGGTTTTCAAAATACACATTGCAAAGCCTTAGGGCTTTTTGAAGGTGCATCAGAGGAAAATACCAAGAATAAATAATAATAAATGTCTAAAAAATAATAAAATAAGATTGGCAGAATGGATTTAGAAACATGGTCCAGACTCTTTGCTGTCTACAAAAGACTTCACTTTATTTTATTTATTGATTTTAGAGAGAGAGGAAGGGAGAGGGAGAGAGAGAAACATCTATGAGAGAGAACATCGATAGATGAGCGAGAACATCGATCGGCTGCCTCCTGCATGCCCCGCACTGGGGATCAGGCCCACAACCTGGGCATGTGTCCTGATTGGGAATCGAAGCGGTGACCTCTTGGTGCATGGGTCAACGGTCCACCGCTAAGCCACACTGGCTGGGCTAGTGCTCTTCTTTCTAATTTCATTTTATTTGTGGTCACAGAACATACATGTATGATTTCAATCTTTTAAAATGTACTGCAACTTGTTTTGTGTCCTGACATTTCGTGGATAATGTCCTAAGTGCACTTGAGAAAAACGTGTCTTCTGTCGGGTGGAGTGTTCTGTATCGATGTTAGATTCAACTAGTCTATAATGTTGTTCAAGCCCTCTGTTTCCTTACTACAGTCTTGTTCTTCTGTTCATAACTAAAATTGGGGTGTTGAAGTCTCCCACTATTACTGTTGAATTGTCTATTTCTCTCTTCAATTCTGTCAGATTTCGCTTCATGTATTTTGGGGCTCTTTTTTTTTTTTTTTCATTTATCTTCAGATAGAGTGGGAGGGAGAGGGAGTAAGAGAGAAACATCGATGTGAGAGGGACACATTGATGGTTGCCACCCTCACGACCCCAACTGGGGCCGGGGACAAACTGCAACCGAGTTACGTGTCCTTAGTGGGAACCAAACCTGGGACTCCCTGGTCCGCGGGCCGACGCTTTAACCGCTGAACCAAACCGGCCAGGGTGAGGGTCTATTGTTAATACAACAAATATAAACACAACATTAGAAACCTTTTACATTACAGGTTTGTCCTTTGTCTCAACAAAAGAAAAAGAAGTTAGACCTAAAGTCTACTTTATCTAGCTCTCTTTTGGTTATTGTTTGCATGGAATATCTTTTTCCATTCTTTTACCTTTAATCTATTTGTGAATGAAGTCTTTTGCCCAACTGGAGTGGCAGGGCACATGCCCAGGTTGTGGGCCAGATCCCCAGTGGCAGGCATGCAGGAGGCAGCCAATGGATGTTCTCTCTCATCGATGTTTCTGTCTCTCTTCCCTTCATCTTTCTCTCAAATCAATAAAGAAAGAAATAAGAGTAGTAAATTGGAAAATTCCCAAATATGTGGAAATGAAGCAACATACTTCTAAGTGACCAGTGGGTCAAAGATGAAATCACAGGGAAATTAGAAAATACTTTGAGAGAGTGAAAAGGACTCAGCATATGACTGGGTACGCTGGGGCAGTGTTCAGAGCGAACTTCGGAGCCCTAAGTCCCTACGTGTGAAGAGTTACTTCAGCTTGGCTGGTGCGGCTCAGCTGGTTGGAGGGTCATCCTGTGCACTGAAGGGTCGGGGGTTTGATTCCTAGTCAGGGCACATACCCGAGTTTGGGTTCAATCCCTGGTTGGGCACGTACAGGAGGCAACCGATTGATGTTCTTAAATCACTGCTCCACCCGCCCCTGTCTCTCTAAAATCAATAAACATCTCCTTGGGTGAGGATAAATAATTTAAAATGTATTTCAAATTAATAACCTAAACTTTCTCCTTAAGAAACTGGAAAAATAATAGCAAACTAAACCGCAAAGCAAGCAGAAGAAAGGACATAAAGATTGGAACAGAAATAAATGAAATATCGAATAGAAGAACAATAGACAATATCAGAATAAAGTTGCTTGTTTTGAAAAGATGACCAAAATTAACAAACCTTGACTAAATGGACTTTTAAAAAAAGAGTTGACTCAAATTATTAAGATCATGAGGGAACTAGGAGACATACCAACCCAGCAGAAATAAAGTTTTTAAAGGTAATGAACAAGTGTTTGACTACTAACAAATTACAAAACCTAAATGAAATGGACAAATTCCTAGGAATTCACAGACTACCAAGCTGAGTTAAGAAAACATTGAAAATAAAAAAAAATAAAAATAAAAAAATAAAAAATAAAAAGCCCTGGCCAGTTTGGCTCAGCGGTTAGAGCGTCGGCCTGCGGTCCGGAGAGACCCGGGTTCGGTTCCCGCTAAGGGCACGTACTTCGGTTGCAGTTTGTCCCCAGCCCTGGTTGGTCGTGTGGGTGGCAGCCACTCGATGTGTCCCTTTCACGTCGATGTTTCTCTCTCTCTCTCCCTTCCTCTCTCTTCCTCCCACTCTATCTGTACAAAAAATGGAAAAATATCCTCGGGTGAGGATAAAAAAAAAAAAAAAAGAAAAGAAAACATTGAAAATCTAAGTAGAGCTATAACAAATAAAATTAATAATGAAGTTCCCAGTGAAGAAAAACCCCAGGACCAGATGGTTTCACCATTGGATTTCACCAAACATTTTACAGGATTAATACCAGTCCTCATATTTTTTCTTTCATTTTTTTTTTTTTTTTGTCCTCATATTTTTTAAAACAAAGAGGTAACATTTCCTAACTCATTCTTTGAGGCTACTATTAGCTTCACACCAAAGGCAAAGAAAGAGAACTATAGACCAGTATCCCTCATGAATATACGTAGATGTAAAAAAATGATCACTTCCAAAAATGATTCTACACCATGACCAGGTGGAATCTTATGTCAGGAGTATATGTTTGGTTCAACATATGAAAATCAGTCAATGTAATATACCATATTAATAGCATGAAGAGAAATAAACATGGTTCATCTCAATAGAAACAAAAGTCATGTGACAAAAAAATCCAACACCTTTTCATTATATAAACACTCAACAAAGTCAGAATAGAAGGGGCATTTCTCATGCTGATAAGGGGCATCTGAAAAACACACAACTAGCACCATTCTTCATGGTGGAAGATCGGAAAGCTTTCCTAAGGTCAAGAACAAGGGAGGAAAATAAGCTTATAGATAGGAACCCCTTAGAGTTCTAAAAAAAAAATAGAACTAATGTATGAATTAAGTGGGGTTGCAGGATACAAGGAAATTATACAAAATCATTTGTATTTCTATACATTAGCAATGAAAAATCTGAAAAGATCAAGACAATTCCATTATAGCATTAAAGAGAATAAGTTATATAGGAATAAACACCCCAACAAGTGCAAATTGTACACAAAGCTGTATTGTAGAAATTAAGACCTAAATAAATAAATGAGGCATCCTGTTCTCATGGACTAAAAGATAAGAGACTGTTAAGATGGTAATATTTACCCTGGCCAGGTGGCTCAGTTGGTTGGAGCATAGTCTGGTGCACTAAAAAGGTTGTGAGTTTGTTTCCCAGTTAGAGCACATACATGCCTGGGTTGCAGGTTCTATTCCTGGTCAGGGTGTATATGGGAGGTGACCAATCAATGTTCTTTCCCTCTCTCTAAAAAAAAGAAAGCGATACTCTGCAAATTGATTTATAGAGCCAATGCAATCTCTATCAAAATTGCAACTTTATTTTTCAAAAATGAGTAATCTGATCCTAAAATTCATTTGAAAATTCAAAGGACACAGAATAGACAATACAGCCTTTGAAACAGAACACAGTTGGAGGTCTCACATGTTCTGATTTCAGGTCTTATGACAAAGCTACGGTAATCGAAGTGTGGTACTGGCATG